AGCATTTCACAGCTTTATCTTAAACAGGGTAGGTGCTGCGCACAGACATTTCAATTTTTTCTTTAATTCCGTGGAGGACGATAATAACATAACTCTAATCGACAGTTTGGTTTTCGGGACATGAAATGGGGAGGAGGGAAATCCTTTTATTTTTCCTCCTCTCCTTTTCTTCTTCTTCCTTCTTTTCTTTTCTTCTTTTTTTTTTTTTTTATTGGCCTTCCAATATTTGATAATCACAATGAATCTCAAATTTTTTTGAACAGCACATTAAATTCCAATTAATTCGAAATTAAATTGTATCGAATCTCAACGTTTCTTTTTTCATTTAGAAAACTTGAATTTAAAATCTTATTTTTAAAAAATCGAATTTTTTTCAGTCAGACCAATAAATCATTGATTCCTCTTCCCTTTTCTTCTCTCTTATAGATATACAAAAAAAAAAAAAAAATCTCTCCCCCACCCATGTTTATTATTTAAATAAAAAAATTTTTATCTTTATTTCAAATCCAATAAGTTATAAGGGTAAAATTCCCTAATAAATATATTTTATTTTATAGGTCAAGAATAAGGTATAAGTTTTAGAATTAATAAGTGCATCCTATAAAGAAATTAATTTTTTAAAATATATCAACTAATGTGAATATATGCTCTTAAAATTGTTTAATAAAAGAATAATCTTAAAGATGCATAAAAGTTGACATAAAATAGTTAAATCGTTTAAAAAAAAGACAATAATAACATATTTATAACAAGTTTTAAGTGTCTTCACATATCAACCACTAATTTGACATGATAAACTTGAATAATCTCATTATCATTTAAAAGTTAATATTATTACAAATAGAGGACAAATAGAGGTTATATTTGACTTAGTTGTTAAAAACAATTGACTACTGTCTATGTTAATCAATAACTTATGAAATTGCGTATAATAACTTTAATTGTTTGAATAAACTAATAAATATATCTTTTTAAAGTCCCTAACAAGTTATTTAAAAAAAAAAAACTATGAACCATAATTATAGGTACAGCGTGGCAAAGTTTTTTGGAAAAGTATTTTTAACTTTTTTCTAATAGTTGTTTTAATCTTTTAAAACGTTAAAATCTAGGTCTATAACTTCTAAAGTAAGTTTTTAATTTTTTTAATTTGATAATTTTTATTTTTTATAATTATGTTATATAAATTTATAATTTAACGACTTCCGCAAAAAAACTACATTTAAAGAGCATTTGTACCATAGTGTAAGCCAAATGGACTCTAAATTATGGTTTGATTATTACTTCCATTTTGACTAAAAATATTTCAATGTGTGTTTATCATAAAACAAATGCTTCCAGCAACAAACACATATTAAATGCCTGAGACATTATAGCATAAACATTATTATTGAAAACGTGTTAGGACTTGGGATGAGAAGCGTAATGAAGTTGACGTTAAAGTTGCTGTTGATGTGGTGTTGTCGAGTCGTCTTCATTTTTTTTTCCCCTAATATCGTTAGAATGTTTTTAAGGTTATTTTTTTACATAATTTAAAATTAAAATTTTAAAATAATCTTAAAATTATATTTTATATTAATTTGATATATTTAAAAAATTTATTTTTTTAAATATTATTTTTAAAATTTATTTTAAATTTAATTTATAAAATAATATTTATTTATCAATTTTTAAAAAGTTAATCTTTTTTTTTTATATATATTGATTGCACAATGAGAGTTGTTTTTTTTTTTCTCCTAATATTGTTAGAATGTTTTTAAGGTTATTTTTTTACATAATTTAAAATTAAAATTTTAAAATAATCTTAAAAATATCTTTTATATTAATTTGATATATTTAAAAAATTCATTTTTTAAAATATTATTTTTAAAATTTATTTTAAATTTAATTTATAAGATAATATTTATTTATCAATTTTTAAAAAGTCAATTTTTTTTTTATCTCTTAGTTATATAAAGAGAAACAACTTTCTTTAATTCTTTATCTTATCCTATTTACATGTCATGCGACTCAAATATAAGATTTTTTATTTTTAATAAACAAAAATAATTATTTAATTATTTAATTGAAATGATAATACTACCCATTTTCTTTCAACAGATTTGTTGGGGGCAGTGGCACAAAATTTAATTTTGACCCACCATAATTTAAGTGCAGCCAATTTCAGTTGCCTTTTTCAACTGCCGTTTTAAAAGGGTCATGGAAATTGTTGGCTGCACGGCTACACCGGCGCTGGATATCCATATTTATACGCTCATTATTAGCTCCACCTTTTCTTTTGGCAGTGTTTAGGTAGAATTATTGATGGTTCAACGCCGGTAATTGAATGCCACCCGCTAGCTGCTCCATATCCAGCGATGTTATGTCCATAATTAAACCAAAAATGGAAAATAAAAATGACGTGGGTCAGTGCAAGGCCCACGAAAGTTAGAACGGTACTGTGATTGGGCTTATTTGTGTGAACTGGATTGGATGCGGGTAAATATGGCAGACTGAAAGCATATTTCTCTTTAGCTTTTCTCATGTTTCAATACTGGTAATCATTGTACCTTGGGCTATTAGCCCAATTGGTTTGAAAGGTGCCTCACCACGCAAGAGGGTCCGAGTTCTATCCCTCCTCTTCAATCTTCCCTACAAATTTGTAGGGGTTTGAAAAAAATAAAAAAAATACTCATGACAATAAGAACTTAGTCAAGCCTCAAGATGCTGTCTTGACAGGCAAAACCTAAAGTTTTAATTTTAAAACAGATGAAAATGAATTTATGGAAGAGTTTGAAGGACTATTCTCTTCTTCTACATCTTTACAAATTCAATAAATACTAGCTATTCTATATCATCCACTAATTTACCAAACATCACCTGTATTCTTATCCATTAATTACAAGCTTAATTTGCATTAATGTTTTATTTTGAATAGCTACAATTTTTGGCAAAAGATTACTATATCTTTGAGATACCATGTTACCAATATTTCTAATCAATCACAATGTACTTTGTTATCAATTTTTAATGAATATTACTAAAGTAGAAGAAAAATGGATGACGTAGCTAATGAGGTGGAAAAAAAAAATCACTGTCATGATATGTTATGATTCACCGAGAATACCACCAACATGGTATTCTTAGAATATAACATACTTTCTCTCATTTTTTAAGGTAAGAGAATTTTTTTTTTTTTTTTTATAAGAGTAATGGTTAGTAGTTAAGTTAAGAAATATTAGTAATTGGGGATTCGATCCCCAGAACAGATGATCTCTCACCTCTCTCATTGAGGCGCACAGCTCATTGAGTCGCACAGCTCATTGAGTCGAATGATAGAGTTTAGAGTAAAGAAAATTGAAACCGAATATAAAGTAGACGCACCTCAACCCTAAGCTAGATTTCAATAAAAAGAATTAGTCAGACGAGTGGAAATGTACTTAAAGGAATAGTAAAAGAAATCATCCCCGGTCCATTCTAGCCTAGTTGGTTAGGATACTCGGCTCTCACCCAACGGAAAATTTTTTTCCACTACCATTGCCAAAACGCAACGTTTAGCCGTTTTCATTCAGTCTCCTCTATTTTCTTGACTCCAAACAGCTTCACACCCCCTTTCCCGGGGAAAAAATATCTGTTGACACCAAAACCCCAGTTAGTCTCTAGAATTTCATCATGTAACTTGCAGATTCTCTTCTTTCATGGTAATTACTCTTAATATTATTGAATTTTTTGCTCAAGGGTTTAGATTTAGGGTTTTAGCCTTCCTTCAAAATTTATGCTGGTATACAAGAATTGAATTCATTAATGAAGTAATACTTTTTGAATTCTTGCATCTAATATTCTGACCCCTGTTCTTGGTAGTCGGTATTGATTAATTAAACTAATTGAATGATGTTTTAGTTGCTACTTGGAAATTGAAATAGCTTAGTGAATTGAAATTAAGCTGAGGTATCTAAAGTTGGGTGTTGAGATCGGCAGCAAGTTAGCATGTTGGTTAGGTGAAATATTTGAACTGGTTTTGTCTCTCTGACTTGTTTTGATGTGCAGAGATATGTAACTTACAGGAAAGTTTGTTCTTTTCGGAGAAAAGGGCTTCCATGTCTATAATCTGATACTAGCATGCTTAGACATATTGGTACTATAAGTTGACGGAGGCAAAGTTAAAATGACTCTGTCAGTTTTTTCACCTTCTAATTGTTGCTAAATGTCAGTGCACTAGACAGCTGATTGCCTCTAAATTTCTGAATGCCTCTAAATTTCTGAATGCCTCTAAATTTCTGAATGCCTCAATAGCTTATAAACAGATTCATCTAGAGAGTTGTACAGATGGGATGGACCCTTTATAGCACATTTACCTTCTATTTAATTGGCAAGATGAGTGCACATGTATCTGATGCCAAATTTATATTCTTTAAGTGCATCGTAAATTCTCAACTGAACAATTATTATCTAATAGACCTTATTTGCTTGGTAAATTGCATGTTTGTTGTGTTTGTCCTGACAAAAACATCAAATCATTCTTACATTGGGATTCTGATTCACAAACATCGGTAATGTATACTCTTCTCTTTTATGAGATTTGTAGCCATGGATGCTAGAGATGACAAGAGAAAAGGCTCTCTTCCCTCAATTATTATTGAATCTCACTCCAATGCTAATGAGGATTGGGTTACCCCTGAAGATTTAGCTTGGGCTGATTCACCTTCCCAAGTCCTTTCGGGAAGATGTTGTGGAAACATTCCACGGCGGTCCTTTTCTGCCTACTTACAGTGAGGATCAAAGAGTGGTGGAAGCTGTTGATTCAGGACTCGAGAGTTTACCAGTGAATGATATTGATCTATCAACAAAAGATATCTTCAGGGTCTGGGATTTGAACATTGCTGCTCATGAGGAATTTGATCTTGTTAAACAGTTGAAAAAGGCCCTTCAAGAAGCTGGGAATCAAAAGATAGAGCAAACTTTCGATGGAGTTGAACTTCAAATCAAGACACCAACTTCTGGTGATTCAGTGGCAAGGAAAGATGTGAAAGAAAAGTCCCTTGATCAGATAGATACCGGCATTGCAGATCTGTCTCTGAATCAAGATTCTAGTTAATTTCTCTACCCATATTTGAAACTTTTAGGTTCTAGAAATTTCCCTTGCAACAACAAGAATGAGGATGCTCGAAGTTGCATGTATTCTTTTCCATGGAATTCCTACTGAATCTACAATGTCAAATGGCAGAGATGCATGAAAGCCTTGGAAACAAATGTTGCTGAATCTTAACCACAGATCATTGAAGTTTTACATCAACCAGTATCATCCTAGTGGGTACCCAACACAGGTCCCACTAATGTTAAGGATGTCTACGTTGCACAAAAAATCTGATTGACTAGCTGAGGTGGCAAGTCGGCCGCCGTTGACAAGGTATTCATGGTTCTCCATCAAATTCTGCAACTAAACCAGGACTGTTATTTGAATCAGAGGTAAGGCAACCAAAATAAAAAAAAGATCACAACCTCATATTTACTTTCCGGTGGAATCTCCCAAACAAGGTGATTATGATGCATTTGTCTATATTACTCAAAAAATCCTGGGTTTTTTTGAAGCCTACAATTTCAATTCAAAATTTTTTTTACGAGGTGGGTATATAACCATCCATTTCAACCACGCATGCATCGTGCCAAGTGTATAGAGTTATCATCCACATGTCGTGCCCCAATTCGTTGACACACGACGGCCTCAAATTTGACATCTCATGACAACACCTTGACAACTATAAATCCAGTGTGATTGGAGTATTGCGTGTGTGGTAAAGAGGCAGCAGAGATAGGTGGAGGAGATAAGATTATATAGTCTTACTGAAGAGGCTGCTGAGCCATCTCTTGTGGTTTCGAAGGAAGAAAAATGGCATCAGCATCCGCAACTCTCCTCAAGTCTTCCCCTGTCCTTGACAAGTCTGAGTGGGTAAAAGGCCAATCCATTCCCCAGCCTTCAGTTTCGGCCGTAAGGTGCCACCGGACTGCTGCCCCCTCTGCCCTCACTGTCCGCGCTAGCTCCTATGCTGATGAGCTTGTCAAGACTGCGGTATGTATATACTTCTCATTCAGTTTAAACTTCACTGAAAAGTTTTTAACTTTAGAGTTCTAGTGATTTAGACTTCTGCATGCATGGGATAAACATTAATGGGGCTTTACTTGGTTGTAGAAAACCGTTGCATCACCAGGGCGTGGTATTTTGGCCATGGATGAATCCAATGCTACATGCGGGAAGCGTCTTGCTTCAATTGGGCTAGAGAATACTGAGGCTAACCGCCAGGCATACCGTACCCTGCTTGTGAGCGCTCCTGGACTCGGCCAGTACATCTCTGGTGCCATCCTGTTTGAGGAGACTCTTTACCAATCCACCACCGGTGGCAAGAAGATGGTCGATGTTCTTGTTGAGCAAAACATTGTTCCTGGTATCAAAGTCGACAAGGTAAGAATATAACAATCCTATTTTCCTTGTTAATTACATCTCAAAGTCGACCAAATATTTGTTAATTTGCAAGAACAAAGAGTATGTAGTGACATGTGGATTGTGTTGGTGCTGATTGACACTAGGGTTTGGTGCCTCTTCCTGGCTCCAACCAAGAGTCATGGTGCCAAGGTCTTGATGGCCTTGCTTCCCGCTCTGCTGCCTACTACCAACAGGGTGCTCGTTTTGCCAAATGGTACAAATTTCATCCCCATTGATGCTATTAAATCTCTAAGCCACTTGCGCCTGAAATATAACATAATTAACCTCATGTTGATTATAACTAGGCGTACTGTTGTGAGCATTCCCAATGGCCCATCTGCCTTGGCAGTGAAGGAAGCAGCTTGGGGACTCGCCCGCTATGCTGCTATTACTCAAGTAAGAATGCACATAAAGAAACTTAAGCTTATATCAGTTACGTTTTGTTCCCCAAGGATATGTTTGTGAAAGATAAAATGTTGTTACTTTTCTGTTGTAGGACAATGGGTTGGTCCCAATTGTGGAGCCAGAGATATTGCTTGATGGTGAACACGGAATTGATAGGACTTTTGAGGTCGCCCAGAAGGTTTGGGCTGAGGTTTTCTACTACCTTGCTGAGAACAATGTCATGTTTGAGGGTATCCTCCT